CGGGCGCGATGATCGGCTCTGATGCAGGGCGAGTCATGGATGGCGGGCGGTGGCGAGGCAGTTGGCTTGTGGTTGGGATGTAGGGGCGAAGCAAGCTGACGTGGAACGAAGGGCTGATGTACCAGTCGGTCGGTAACAGTAGGTGCGCGGTTACTGGCGTGATCATGTGGCTGATTTGGAATGGGCCAAAGTAGTGCGGTCGGAGTTTTGGTACGTCGGGCAGTCGCAGATTTTGCGTGTCGAGTAGTACGTAATCCCCTGACTGGTATGTGACTGGGCGGCGGTGGCGGTCAGCGTTGCGCTTAGCGATGACGTTTGCTTTTTTAATTGCTTCTACGGCTCTGGTGCGGGCAGCTTGCAGAATTTCGGCGAATTGCTGTGCACGTGGTGTTGGGTTGTCCGGACTCGGCGTCATGGGCACTGTAGGGTTTTGCCCGTAGTTCAGGTAGAAGGGGGACTGCTGCGTCGTCGCAGACGTGGCATTATTGTACGCGAACTCGATCAGCGGCAGCTGCTGCTCCCAGGTCGTGGGGTCGTCGCACGTGGCACGAATCAACTGCTCCATCGTCTGATTCGTCCGCTCCGTTTGACCATCGGTCTCGGGGTGGTACGACGAACTGAACTGCAGCCTGGTTCCGAACTGCTCCCAGAGGTTCTTCCAGAAGTTGCTGGTGAACTTCGTGTCCCTGTCGCTGATAATCGCTGCTGGTATCCCGTGCAGGCGAACAACGGCTGCGATGAACAGACGAGCGGTTTCCTCGGATGAGATTGACTTTTTGCACGCACCGAAGTGTGCCATCTTCGTCAACCTGTCAACGACAACCATCACCGCGTCGTTACCCCCAGGGTTCGAAGGTAACCCTGTGACGAAGTCCGTGGTGACCTGCTGCCAGGCGCGCTCGGGCGGTGGTATCGGCTGCAATTGACCCGCCTTCTGCTTCCTCGAGCTCTTCATCACCTGACACGTGGGGCACGAGCCCACGTGCTGCTGCTCGTCGGTCAACAGCTCCGGCCAGTAGTAATACCGCTGCAGTTGATGCGGTTGGTGCCTGTTTTTACGTAATAAACCCCTTTAGCTTCTGCCAGATGCTGTGAGTTTCCAGTCGTGAAAAATGGGTCGGTGCGGTATCCGTGGGTGACTTGGCCTGTGAAAGGCGGGTTGGTCTAGGCGAGTAGGATGGCGTGGAGTTGGGTGGTAGGGCGGCTGAGTGCGTCGGCGATGTTGGATGCGCCTTTCTTGTACGTAACCATATAGTAGAAGTTGGACTCGAGGAAGTCCAACCAGCGAATCTGTCGTGGATTGAGATTCGGTTGGGCGCGTAAGTACTGTAGTGATCGGTGGTCTGTCCGTACTGTCACGTCGGCGCCAGTCAGGTAACACCGCCAAACCTTGAACGCGTGCACGATCGCCAACATTTCGCGGTCGTGTATCGGGTAGTTGCGTTCGGGCGGGTGCAGCTTGCGGGACTCATACGCGATTGGCTGGAGGTCGTTCCCGAAATCCTGCAACAGTACTGCTCCCACAGCAATGTGACTTGCGTTAGTGACGAGCTCAAACGGACGGTGTGGTCTGCGATGTGAAGCATGGGCGGTGAGGACAAAATGTTTTTTAGGGCCGAGAAGGCAGCTTGCTCTTTCTCCCTCCACGTGTACTCAACCCCCTTCTTCAGCAGGTCTGTCAGCGGGGCAGTAAGCTTTGCCATGTCGGGGACGAACCGGCGCACTTAGTTGACGAACCCCAAAAAACTCTGTAACTCGGTCAAGTTGGTCGGCGCGTGCCATGCTTGAATCGTCGCAATTTTCTTCGGGTCTATTTCCATTCCTGCAGTTGAAATAACGTGTCCCAAAAATTCCAGGCGGTCCTGTAAAAACTCACACTTAGACGCTTTTGTCAGTAGGCGGTTCTCACTCAGTATTTTAAAAACCGCTTCGATGTCCTGTAAGTGCTGTGCTCTGTCGAGGCTGTAAATCAGTATGTCGTCCAGGTATACTATGACGCACTTATCTAAGTGCGGGCGGAAAGCTTCGTTCATGGTCATTTGAAAAGTGGCGGGGGCGTTGGTCAGTCCGAAGGGCATGACGGTGTATTTGAAGGATCCGTAGCGTGTTCGGAAAGCGGTCTTAGGGCAGTCGGGCGGATTGACGCGAATCTGGTGGTAACCCCCTTGGAGGTCGATTTTCGAGAAAACCCGGGCTGTGCGCAGTTGGTCGATCAGTTCGTCGGCTCGCGGGATGGGGTAACGGGATTTGATGGTAACCCTGTTCAGTGCTCTGTAGTCTATGCACATGCAAAATCCCCCGTCTTTTTTCGGTGTGAACAGTATCGGTGCTGCGAAGGGCGACGAACTAGGGCGAATGAACTCCTTCTCGAGCAGGTAATCGAGCTGCTTCCTAAGTTCATCCAGTTCGGGCTGGGTCAGTCGGAACTGTCGCTGTACTGTTGGCTGCGCCCCCGGTTCTAACTCTATCCTGTGGTCGTGCAGTCGCTGAGGTGGCACTCCCGTCGGTAAATCGTCTGGGAAAATGTCGCTGTACTGCTTCAACAGTGCTGCCAGATCACTCGGTACGCCGGCCAGCAGTTTGTGTAAATCCCCTCCTTTGTGTGCTGCCTCGGCTTCCCGAATGTCGACCGCGTACACGTTAGCTCCTGCCGCTACAGCGCGTTTCATCGTGATCGCGTTGACACGCACCGACGAAGACTCAGGCGAGCCCCAGCGAGGTAGGGCGATGTTGTTACCGTTCACTCGCACGGTGCAATCACCCGTCGTCCAGTCGATTCGTGGATTGTGTCGTCGCAGCCAATCACGGCCGAGTAAAATGTCGGTTCCGTCGAGGGTCGTTGCAAGCATTCCCTGGCTAAACGCGAAGTTACCCCCACATCGAATCCGAACCCAGTCTACGTGTTCTCGTATTGCCAGCGGCGTGCCGTCTACCAGTCGTGCGTCGATCTCAGGTAAACATCTGTCCAGTGGCAGTCGCAGTTTTCGTACTGTAGCAGTGTTGATGAGGCTGTGACTAGCTCCCCCGTCCAACTAAGTCCGTCCCGATTTTCCCACTAAGCAGTATGGGGCTGTCTACCGTAGTCCCCTCCTTATTCGGCCGAGTGTGGTCGATTGCGTGAACCGGCACAATCACTCGGTGAGGGTCGGTTGGGTCGGGCGAGCGGCGTGACCGGTCAGTAGAGGGCCCATCTGCTACTGACTCCCAGCGTTTCCCTGCTGCTTGGTCTGTTTCTGCTGCTCAGCTTCCCCCTCACCCTTAGCGTTTTCCGGGCATTCGCTCTTGCAATGTCCCGGCCGATTGCACGCAAAGCAGCGCCCTTTGAACGGTGCGGCAGTGGCATTTGCGGCGACGGCACGTATCGTGGCACCCTCGTTCGTCCCACGAGGCCGATGTCCCCAATGGCTACTTCCGTAGGACCCCGGTCTCGGTCGGCGGAAGAAGTCAAGTTTCTCCGCCATAGCGAGAATTTCTTGAAAGTCGGTGACGCCGCGAAGCTGGATTTCCTGAGCGATGTCCTGCTTCAGGCCGCCGATGTAGCGGTCGATGCGCTCGCTCTTGTGCATATATCCCACCTGCTCGCATAGCGCCAGAAATCCGCTCGTGTAATCTTGGACGGAACCGAGTTGGCGCCAAGTGCGGAGCTTCTGTCGCGCCGCGATCGAAGCCGCGATTGGCTCAAAATGAGCTCGCAGACCTGCGCACCACGCGTCCCACGTGCGATACTGGGGCACCTCCACGAAATACGACGGTGCCCAGGGTCCGGTTTGTCCTTCCCGTGTCGGTAGAGTCGCGTAGTCCACCGGCTTCGTGACGATGACGCGCCACCAGTCCATGGCGGGTCCTCGCAGCAACGACATGTCAGAACATTATAGCTTATGCTTTTGTGTAGGCTGTAGTGGGGTAGCCCATATAGGGTACAACCCAATTAAGGTTAGTACTTGTACCCAACTCTTTCATAGTGCATTCATTCTCGTTTCAGTTTTCTCATGGTATCGAGCAGGTTCCCTCGTGGGAACTGTTCCTAGGGCCCACCGATTCGATTTTTTTTCCTGCTCGGTGCGCGCTCCGCCCTTGCCCAAGTCGCGCTCCCCTTTTCTCACTGTGTCGCGCGGCCCTAGCGGCTGTGTCGTGCCGCCCTTGACGGCCCCGATTCGCCGCCCTAGCGGCCCCGTCACCTACCCCGCGGCCCTCGAGCCGCCCTTCGCGGCCCCGATTCGCCGCCCTTTCGACCCCGTCGCCCACCCCGCGGCCCTCGCGCCGCCCTTCCCGACCCGGCCCCGACCCTGCGGCCCCGTCGCCTACCTGCGGCCCCGCCGCCTACCTGCGGCCCCGCCGCCTACCTGCGGCCCCGCCGCCTACCTGCGGCCCCGTCGCCTACCTGCGACCCCGCCGCCTTTCTACGGCCCCGCCGCCTACCTGCGGCCCCGTCGCCTACCTGCGGCTCCGCCACCTACCTGCGGCCTCGTCGCCTACCTGCGGCCCCGCTGCCTACCTGCGGCCCCGTCGCCTACCTACGGCCCCGCCGCCTACCTGCGGCCCCGTCGCCTACCTCTGACCCCGTCGCCTACCCTAGGGCCCCGGCCCAGCCCCTGCTGGCCCTGCCGCACGCCCTTCCCGGCCCCGACCCCGCCTTCACGCGGCCCCGCCGGGCTACTGCCGAGCCGCCAGCACCACCCGAGCCGCCCGAGCCGCCGCCCCGCCGAGTCGCCTGAGCCGCCCGAGCCGCCCGAGCCGCCGTCCCGCCGAGCCACCCGAGCCGCCCGAGTTGCCTGAGCCGCCCGAGCCGCCCGAGCCGCCCGAGCAGCAGAGTAGCCGAGCCGCCCGAGCCGCAGAATAGCAGAGCCGCCGAGCTGCAGTTCCTGCCGAGCCGCCGAGCTGCAGTTCCTGCCGAGCTGCCGAGCCGCCGAGCTGCCCGAGCCGCCCTGTCCGATAAGAGCAGCGCCTCTGTCACTGCACTGCCCTTACCCCACTGTTCGTGCTACTAGTCTACTCCTGTCATGGGTACCCCTAGTGTCCTCGCTTTTGACACTCGGGCCATTGACTTTGATGTCTGGGTAGATGACCTGCAGCTTTTCCTACAGTGCGATAGGGCAGACGGTCTCTCCCTCTTTGACCTCACCTCTGGTGCCTCTCCTGCCCCTGCTGCTGATGCTGACGCCACTGTTCGCTCAGAGTGGGCCACACGCGATGCTGCTGCACGTCTTGCTGTGCATTGCCACCTGCCTACCTCTGAGCGTGCGCACTTTAGCCAGTACAAGAGTGCTCAGACCTTGTACGACGCTGTAGTTGCACGCTACTCCTCCCCTGCCACTGCTGCACTGAGCCGCCTCATGCTACCTACCTCTTTCCTGACCTTGCTGCCTTTCCCACAGTCGCTGACCTCATTACGCACCTCCGCACTAGTGACACTCGCTACCGCGCTGCGCTTCCTGCTGAGTTCTGCGCCAAGAACCCCCCCCCCCCCCCCCCATGTACATCACTCTCTACTACATAGTCACCCTCCTCTCTGACTCCCTTCGCGTAGTCAGGGACCACTTTCTCTCAGTTTGCCCCACCACCCTCACCGTTGACCTCCTCGAGAAGGCCCTCCTAGCAGCGGAGAAGAGCATAGTCGTTGTAGGAGCCTCTCGTGGTGACCCTCGCACCCCCGTCTTTGAGGGGTGTTCCCCCCTTTTGCCCTCTGTTGCCTCTGCTACAGCGGCCAACCTCGTTGGGCTTGAGTCGGTCGGTGCGGTGTCTACCCCTAGCGGGAGACGCCGCCCTGGCAAGGGCAAGGGGGGCAGGGGCGCTGGAGGAGCTAACGGGGGCGGTGGAGGCGGCGGTAGAGGCGGCGTAGGGAGTGGGGGTGGCGGTGGAGGTGGTGGCGGGGGTGGAGGTGTCGGGGGTGGAGGTGTCGGTGGCGGCAGTGGAGGCGGAGGAGGCGGCTGTGGCGGTGCGAGCGGAGGTGGTGGCGGAGGTGGCGGCGGTGGAGGAGGCGGTGGCGGAGGAGGTGGAGCTGGTCGGGGTGGCACTGCGCAGAGGGTCGGCTCCAGTGGAGGCCAGCGCCAGCAGCAGCAGCAGCAGCGCACTCGTGACATCCCCTCCCCTCAGCAGCTCCGTGAGTGGTACACTGCACGCCAGCGGGGTGGGGTTACTGGTCCGTGCACCTATGTCCTACGCACCGGCGACCGCGCGGGTGAGCAGTGCGGGGGTGCGCACTCCACCCAGCGCTGCTTTGGCCGCCTGACGGACGCTTGGCGTCACCAGTTCCCGCAGGCCACGGAGATCCCTCGCTGGGGTGAGCTGTCTTTGGCGGGAGTAGTTGTCTTTGACCTTGACTTTGATGCTATTCTTGCTGCCATGTATGCTGTGACTATTAGTGATAAGGGTGACTGTTACCGGTGTTTTCCGCCCGACCCGGGCATTGAGACTGCCGCTCTAGGTACTGGTGAGGCTGCTGCTCTAGGTGCTAGCGAGGCTGCTGCTCTTGGTGCTCGTGCGTCTGCTCCCTCAGGTGCTGGTGAGTGTGAGAGTACGACGGCTTATGCCAACTATGCTTGCTTGCCTCTACTTTATCATGCTATTTCTAGCATAGGATATTTATATGCATGCATGAATTGCTTGATTTCCTAGGCTAGGTGCTTTCCTATATTTTATTATAGTTATAGCACCGAGCTAGGTTACGTGCACCGAATTCTGGCTTTTCGGTTGCCACCGAATTGCCTTCTACCGAATTCGTTAAGGATCTGCTCGGGACGCTTCACGACCCGCGGAACCTTCGCATAACACCACAGTTACCAACCCTAGAGTTCGCTTACAACAACGCATCACATGCGGCCACAGGGAAAACTCCTTTCTTCCTATGTTACGGACGGGAACCACTCACACCACAGCAGCCAACCACACCGGCATACGTCCAAGCCGCACATGACTTCGTCACCACCATGCAGCAGCTATGGGAGAAGACTCAGCGACGTCTCACCACGATGCAGAACTCCCAGAAGCAGTATGCCGATCGTCAGCGACGTGATCACTCAGTAGCAGTCGGAGATCAGGTGCTTCTTGACACGCGCAACTTGAACATGTCTCACCTTCCATCCAAACTCTGGCCTCGCTTCTGTGGTCCTTTTCTCGTTGAGGCACAGGTGACACCAGTTACATTCCGCTTGCGCTTACCAGATACATGGAAGCTTCACAACGCTTTCCATGTCCAGCTACTGAAGCCCTACAAGGACCCCAACCAACAGTTCCAGGGACGGCAACTACCGCCACCACCACCTGTTCTCATACAGGATGAACCCGAGTACGAGATCGAGCGCGTTCTCTCTCATCGGCGCCGCGGTGGCAAGAATCTCGAGTTCCTGATACGCTGGAAGGGATACGACCCCACTGAGGACAGTTGGGTTGCAGAAGCTGATATGGGCAACGCACGCCGTGCTCTCAAGGACTATCTTGTCAAGCAAGGTGTATCTCACGCCACCCAGCTTTGAGGGGGGGACGTGTGAGAGTACGACGGCTTATGCCAACTATGCTTGCTTGCCTCTACTTTATCATGCTATTTCTAGCATAGGATATTTATATGCATGCATGAATTGCTTGATTTCCTAGGCTAGGTGCTTTCCTATATTTTATTATAGTTATAGCACCGAGCTAGGTTACGTGCACCGAATTCTGGCTTTTCGGTTGCCACCGAATTGCCTTCTACCGAATTCGGTAAGGATCTGTTCGGGACGCTTCGCGACCCGCGGAACCTTCGCGTAACACCTGGTTACGGGGCCTTGTGTCGAGCCTATATATAGCCTCGTGTTGTACCCAGGTGGACATTCAATTCAATTCAATTTGAATCATCTTTTCTGAGCTCGATCCCGGATCCTCACAGTGAGTCTGCTCTCTCAGGTACTGCGTCGGCTTCGGCCTCCCACACCTTCACCCTTGACTTGGGGGCTTCTCGCTCCTTCTTTCGAGACCGCACCACACTCACGCCGCTTGGCCGGCCAGTTGCAGTCTCTCTGGCAGACCCCTCTGGGGGTCGTGTCCTTGCTCACTACTCCACTGTCCTCCCGTGTCCGGCGGCCCCCTCTTGCACCCTGTCTGGTCTTTACCTCCCCTCGTTCTCTACGAACTTGGTGAGTGGTGCTGACCTACAGGATGCGGGGGTTCACCAGTTCACTCCTGCGCGTCAGCAGGTGACCCACTGCACGGACGCTCGGACAGGCCGACACCTGGCCACGTTTACACGTCGGCCGGGGTCGAGCCTGTACACACTGACCACTGCGTCTGGTCACGTAGCTGCGTCGGGTCAGGTGTTTGCTGCAGCGTCCAGGTCTGGTCCTGAGTCTGCCCCCTGCTCGTGTCGCCTCCTGTCTCACGAGACTCTCCTCTAGCACCACCGCCTTGGTCACCCCTCCCTACTTCGTCTCCGAGGCATGGCCTCGCGTGTCCTTGTCTCTGGTCTTCCTCGGTCCCTCCCTCCCCTTCCTCCTGGGCCTGGCCCTACCTGCATCCCCTGTGTCGAGGGGCGGCAGCGGGCTGCCCCTCACTCCTCCCAGTTTCCTCCGACAGAGGCCCCACTGCAGTCGCTTCACATGGACGTGTGGGGCCCGGCCCGCGTCCGTGGACAGGGTCACGAGCGCTACTTCCTGCTGGTGGTTGACGACTACTCGCGTTACACCACAGTCTTCCCCTTGTGCAGCAAGGGTGATGTCACTGCGGTGTTGATCGACTGGATCCGCGCAGCTCGTCTCAAGCTCAGGCAGAGCTTCAGCTCGGACTTTCCTGTTCTGCGTCTGCACTCTGACAGAGGCGGGGAGTTCTCCTCTGGCCTTCTGCGAGCCTACTGTCGTGCACGAGGCATCCGCCAGACCTTCACGCTTCCGGACTCCCCACAGCAAAAAGGGATTGCTGAGCGCCGCATTGGCATGGTCATGGATGTCGCTCGTACGTCTATGATGCATGCGGCTGCCCCCCATTTTCTGTGGCCGTTTGCGCTTCGGTACGCGGCGCATCAGATCAACCTTCACCCCAGGGTCTCCAGGCCGGAGACTTCCTCAGCTTTGCTGTGGACAGGGAAGGTTGGCGATGCGTCTGCGTTCCGTGTCTGGGGATCTCGGGTGTTTGTTCGCGACTTGTCTGCGGACAAGCTGTCCCCTCGTGCTGCTCCTTGCGTCTTCCTTGGCTTCCCCCCTGACGCGCCAGTGTGGCAGTTCTACCACCCCACCTCTTGCCGTGTTCTGTCCTCTTAGGACGTCACGTTTGACGAGTCGGTCCCCTACTACCGCCTCTTCCCCTACCGCACTCCGTCCCTCCCCCCGCCGCCGCTCTTCCTTGTACCAGGTCCCCCCCCGATAGACCCCCTCCCCCCTCAGGGTCCTGCCCCTTCAGGTGTGACCCAGGTAGAGGCAGTCGAGCCTGTCGAGGTTACTGGTGACTCTGGTGCTGCTGAGGGTGCTGAGCCTGGGGGTGCTGACTCTGCGGGTGCTGAGCGTGTGGGTGATGCGCCTGGGGTTGGTGAGCCTGCGGGTGCTACTACTGGGGGTGCTGAGCCTGGGGGTGCTGAGCCTGGGGGTGCTGAGCCTGGGGATGCTGCGCCTGGGGGTCCTGAGCCTGGGGGTGCTACGCCTGGGGGTGTTGAGCCTGGAGGTGCGCAACATGAGGGGGTTGGGCCTACTCGCGTGGCGTCTGGCAGTACTTGGCCTGGAGGTTCTCCGGGTACTTCGTCTCGACGGGAGCCTCTCTCTCCACAGCAGCTGCGTGAGTGGTTTGCCCGGCGCTGGAGGCGTGCTGCTGGAGCTAGAGGTTCTCCGACTGCTGAGGGTGCTGGTGCCGCGGGTCCCGGAGGTGCTCGTGCTGGGAGTACTGGAGCTGCTGGGCCTGCAGGTGCGACTGGAGCTGAAGCTGCTGAGGGTGTTGGTGCTGAGGCTACTGCTGTCGTTCCTGGAGGCGGTCCTGCTGGGGGTACTACTGGTGCTGCTGGAGGTACTGGAGCTGGAGGTGCTCCTGGCGCTGGTGCTGCCCCTAGGGGTACTGGTGTTGTCCCTGCTGTGTCTAGAGTCGCCGCGCGGCCCTGGCCGTACTTCGTTCCGCTCCTTCAACAGGTTCTTGGTCTCCCGCCTTCTACTGGTCCTTCTCCTCCCTTAGAGTGTCCACAGCCTGTCCCGTCACAGTTACAGTTACAGTCGGCCTCCCCGCTACCTGCTCCTTCTCCCTACACTGGTCCTACTGGAGGTCTTGCTGAGCGTCGTGAGCCTGCGTCTCGCCCTGCGTCGCCTGTCCGCACTGCTCGCACTAGTGGTCGTGGTTCGCGTCAGCGTCCTCCTCCTGTCCTTGGCACGCACCGGATGTCTTTTCGTCCGTCCACTGCTCCTCTGCGTGCCCCTTTGCCTTCTCCTCCTGAGTCCTCTCTTCCTGCTCTTGCCGACCCGGAGTCGGACTCTCTTCGTGCTGCCAGTCCTACTGTCACGCGTCTCCTTGCTACTGACGACACTGACCCTTCTTTTGAGTCCACTCCTGCGTCTGCCCTAGTTACTCAGCTCGTCGACTTTGCTGCTCGCTGTCGTCTAGACTACGCTGCTAGTCTTGTCACTGAGTCTGAGTCTGTCTGTCCTCCGTGCGTCGGGGGTGAGTGTGCCCTGGGCACGGATGTCCTTGAGGACAGGCACGAGTAGTTCCAATGTCTGGCTGCTGCTTCACCTCATCTCGTGTCCATAATGCTTACCCCTGAGGGAGACCCGGATGCACTTGACATCCCGACTCCGCGCTCTTACGCGAAGGCGATAGAGGGTCCCTACTCCTCTCAGTGGCAGGCAGCTATGGACGCAGAGATGGCTTCCTGGAAGTCCATTGGCACCTACGTTGACGAGGTTCCCCCGCCTAGGGCGAACATCGTCAGTGGCATGTGGATTTTCAGGGTGAAGCGGCCGCCGGGTTCTTCGCCTGTCTTCAAGGCGCGCTACGTGGCTCGTGGCTTTTGTCAGCGGCAGGGAGTTGACTACTTTTAGACCTTCTCTCCCACCCCGAAGATGACCACTCTTCGGGTAGTGCTACACATAGCTGCTCACCGTGCCTACGAGCTGCACTCTCTTGACTTCAGCACTGCTTTCTTGCAGGGCAGCCTGCACGAGGAGATCTGGCTGCATCGCCCACCTGGCTTCACTGGGTCTTTTCCTCCTGGCACTCAGTGGAGCCTCCGGCGGCCAGTCTACGGTCTCCGCTAGGCACCGCGTGAGTGGCACGACACACTGAGGACTACACTTGCGGCTCTTGGGTTTGCTCCCTCTACTGCTGACCTGTCGCTGTTTCTGCGCACCTACACTTCTTTGCCGCCGTTCTACATCCTCGTGTACGTCAACGACTTGGTCTTTGCCACTGCTGACACTGCTGGACTCGCCCACGTGAAGTCTGAGCTGCAAAGAGACACACGTGCACAGACCTGGGTGAACTGCGCAGCTACCTTGGCTTGCAGATCACCTGGGACAGAGCACGCCGCACCAATACCCTGCCTCAGTCACACATGGTGCAGCAGGTCCTTCAGCGCTTCGGCTTCACGTACTCCTCGCCTCAGGCCACTCCTCTGCCTACTCGCCACTCGCTCTCAGCTCTGCCTTCGGATGAGTCCGTAGAGTCGAGTGGCCCGTACCCAGAGCTTGTTGGCTGCCTCATGTACCTGATGACCTGCACTCGACCTGACCTTGCATACCCTCTTAGCATTCTCGCACGCTATGTTGCTCCTGGGAGACACAGACCGGAGCACATGGCTGCAGCGAAGAGGGTGTTGCGCTACTTGTGCAGTACGTCGGGCATGGGGCTTGTGCTTGGAGGGTAGAGTCCAGTGGTCCTCACTGGGCACGCAGACACTTCTTGGGCTGACGACCAGGCTACGCAGCGGTCGTCTCAGGGTTACACCTTCAGCCTTGGTTCTGGCTCTGTTTCGTGGCGGGCTACCCGCTCGTCTTCTGTTCTCGGCTTTAGTTGTGAGGCTGAGATCTACGCCGGGGCCATGGCTGCTCAGGAGCTTCGCTGGCTCACCTACCTGCTGACTGACCTCGGAGAGCCGCCTCGTTCTCCTCCAGTGCTGTACGTAGACAACAAGGCCATGCTGGCCTTGTGTCGAGAGCAGAGACTGGAGCACAGAACAAAGCACATTGCTCTTCGCTACTTTCTTGTTCGTGAGCTGCAGCAGCGTGGTTAGCTGCGTCTTGCGTACGTGGCCTCTGAGGCCAACACTGCTGATATCTTCACCAAGGCACTTGCGCCTTGTGATCATCAGCGCTTCTGTACTCAGCTGGGTCTTGTGCCTGCCTTGCCTCACTTGCTCACCTCTTGACCTTGCTTGTATTGTTACATATATATATATACCCTGCTCTTGCTTGTCTAGCCTTTTATATATATATGTACTCCTGCATGTGAACTGGCCTTTTGGCCTTGACCTTGTGCTCGGAATGTGTGGTGACATTGTGATCCACCCTGAGCTTGCTTTGCTTTGCTTTGCTTGACTGGTCTTGTGACCCCTTGTACTCCCCCACTTTGCCTATGGGGGTGTGTCAGAACATTATAGCTTATGCTTTTGTGTAGGCTGTAGTGGGGTAGCCCATATAGGGTACAACCCAATTAGGGTTAGTACTTGTACCCAACTCGTTCATAGTGCATTCATTCTCGTTTCAGTTTTCTCACGACACGGCGTAGCGAATCTTCGCCGTATCCTCCGAGACGTAGTTCGCGTCGAAGAAGACGTTCAACGTGAAGAGCCACGCCTGAACAGTAGGACCACCTCGCTGACTTGGGTCAAAGGATGGCGGACGCTGCGGCTTTAGCGGCATCGGCGACGGAAGAGTTGATTCGCCGGCCGGCACCGAAATCGTGACTCGAGGCTGAGTCCTGGCCGCTTTCGTCGCGTCGGGGTGTGTCGTGCCGTGGTCGTCGTCTCCGTCATGGCGGACGATGCCATCACTTGCGGCGCTCGCGGGTTGCCCCACACTTCCGTGCTGTGATGTCTGTGGTGCGGGCTGAATCAGAGTGCCAGGTGCTTGGGATTGTGCCCGCGTGAGGTCGTTTTGCAGGGACGAGCGTTCTGCCATCAGCGTCGCGATTTCCTCGGCGCTCTCGCGGATTTGTCGCAGCAGATCGTTCAAGTGCTCCTGCGAGAGAGTCGTGACGTCGATATGTTCTGCCATTTCGAAGGGCGCCGGCTCGTCTTAGTCTACGCGCAGTCGTGACTGCACTCGTTTACGAGAGAACGCGAGGACAGCGGCTCCTAGGTGCTAAGGTACGTGAGTCCCTTCGAGTGAAAAATCAAAAGCTGATTTCCTGGGGTGCGGAGATGCGTGGTCCGAAAGAAAGGGGCTCTGAATACCAAGTGTTACGGGTGCAATGAATCGAAGTAGCGAGAATTGCACTAAGGTGTCAAACGAGTACAAAATGTGAGCGAAGGCATGAGCGAACATTTATACGCGAAACATGCAAACGGTAACGCGGAGCGTGCGAGCTAGCTAGTGCTACGTTGGAAGCGAGGCTCGGGCTAGTCCCGAAGCGTAGGCCGACACGGCCAGGCCAGCAGTGCGAGGTTTGGTGAAACAGTGCGCGCGAAGTCGGCGAAGCCCCGTTAGCAGTAACGGGCGAACAACGGCTGTTGCTGTATGCGATGTAGTCGGGCTCCGTAAGGAATGCCGAGAAATTTCCTTACACGTTTACACTGCAACCACCACCAGTTTCTTGCTCCTCCAATTGATTTCTGGGTTTTTAGTTTATCCGGAAGTCTTACTGTAGCTTTCTTTCTTTCAAGGGACTTTCACATCAACTTGCGCACACTTTCCGCTGATCCGCTTCTAAGACGGAAGAGTTATTGTGCTAACACAGAACCCGGCTTCTCCGCACGTCACGCAAGCACTGTTCTCATCGGACTTCTTCTGCCAGCAAGCACAAAACTAAACCCCTCTCGGATGGGAAGTTTTCAAGGGCATCAACCCTGAACACCACGCGACAAGGTGTTTAGGGTTGATGACATACATTAGCATGCCAGCCAAGAGGGATTTAGTTTTGGCATCAACCCTAAACACTTAGTCGCAAGGTGTTTAGGGTTGATGCCCCTTACATTTGCCAGCCGAGAGGGATTTAGTTTAGTGCGGATAGAAAGGCAACATAATGTTGTGCACCGAGGTGATGACACGTGGGTAAATGTGGAGTCGAGTTCTGTCTTCGCGCAATAAGTCTTCTGTCTGGTCCGCGAAATCTGGGAAACTGTGTGCAGGTAGAGAAGAAGGTCCCTAGAAAGCGCAGGTTCGGAAGTACCTCTTCCGCTGTAGCTAAAAACCCTTGATTTCTAGGCCCTGGCGCGTACAAAAGTCGTCCTCTCCTTTTATCTGCAATTTCGCGCTGTCAGCGTTGACAGTGTCCGTCGGCGCAAATAAGCGTTGCATGACCCTATCGGCCTGCCGCCATGGCGGCACATCGCGAGTCCGTGCGGCTCGTCGTGCGTCTCGACCCATTCGCCACCACGCACATCAACTACGCGCACCTTCTTCGACAAGCTTCCCCCGCTCAGCCTTCCGCGCCTCTTGTACCGCTTTTTTCCGGGCTCCAGTCGGCGGAAGGCGCGGGGAGTGGTGAAGGTCGCAGCGAGGCCGAAGCGGATCGCGCAGCGGCGACGGGTGACGGCGAGAGGGAGCGAGCGGGAGGCGATGCGCAGGCGGGGAGTGCGACCTCGCTGGTGCGTCTGATTCCGCCATGCCGACCGGCGCCGCTGCGCTCGTCGAATGCTCCTTCCATGGCTGCGGCCTCTCGTGCTGCGCGACACACTTCGTATCAATGCGCGATGAAGCCGGGCTTTCGATTCCTCCCATGCTCCGCGTGCTGTCCTGGTTAGACCGCTGCGTTTGTACCAACCCACGTTTTCCTTATTCCCCTGTCCTGTCTCTTCTCCGTTTCCCGCGTCTCCGCGCCTCCGCGTCGGCGTGCGTGCAGGCGGCGCGCGGCAGGGAGGCCGCGAAGGCGGCGGCGGCGCTGCTGGCTGATCCGCTGCCGGAAGTGAGGAACAGATTCAGCGCCGTCATCGACAAGATCTCGCGCCTCTACGCGGCAAGTCGTCGCTTCCAGGCTTCCTTTGTTGTCGCGTTGTGGCGACCAGTGCACCGTGACGGGTGTCGTTTCCCACATGATGCCAAACACTGATTGGTCATCGTTGCTCGCTCTCGCCTGCGCAACTCGCATGCCCGTCTGCTCTCCCCTGCTGCTGCGTGCGCTCAGGGCTCCGACAGTGATGATGACGACGGCGACATGCACGATGGGTGCGCCGCAGCAGGGGGAGCAGCCGCAGGAGCACAAAGGGGTGCGGAGGGGCAGCGCGCGGCAGGTGGAGCGCGGGGCGGCGAGGGGGAAAGGGGGGGAGGGATGGAGGGCTGGGAGGGGTGTGAGGGATGGGAGGAAGGCGGGGGGTGGGAGGAGGAGTACGACACGGCCGACCCCTTCATTGATGACTCTGACCTCGTACGCTGCCCCCCTCCCTCGCCCTCGCCCTCGCCCACGCCCACGCTGCACCCTCGCCAACCCCATTCGCCCTAACCCCATGGCGTGTTTTGCTTCACGTCGTGCTTCATCTGGTTTTCATAGACTATGCTTCATTTCTTATCGTGTGACTCACGTTGGGCGTTGCTGCATGGGTGGACTGTCATGCATGCATGGGACATCATTACACAATTAATCATGTCATCACATGCCATCACATGGCATGGCATCGTATGGTTGGCAGAAGGAGTATTTTTCCTCCAACCGCAAGGCAAGGCGAGCGGGCTTCTTCGTCAACCGATCCGACTCTCACCATTCACCCCCCAGGTGCGCCCTCCCTTGCTTCTCTCTCCCCTTCCCTTCTTCTCCCGTCCGCCTCCTTTCTCTCCCTTCCCCATCCGTTCCCACGTTTCTCTCCCGTTCTGTCCACACCGTCCCTTGCCCATGGAGCGTGTGATGTGTGCCATGGAATGGACGCTTGCTCTCTTTGCCACATGCCCATACTCGCCGCTGGACAATGGCCATGCTTCCTCCATCCACAGCACTCCCAATCACACGCTTCCTCGTGCACCTTCTCTCACCACTCTCGCCCCTCCCATGTGCTCCTCTTGAATTCCTTTTCACCCTTCCGTACCCATCACTCCTACCTCCCCCTGACCACCACGCACCCATCCCCCCCCCCCCTGCGCCCCCACCAGTCCTGCCTTGCCTGGCGGGTCGCCATCAGCAGCAGCGCGTGCAGCAGGGGGGGCATCATTGAGAGGCACACTGCGGGGCGTGAAGCAGGCGGCCAGGGCGGCAGGGGGGGCGGTGGCAGGCAGGGGCGGGCAGGGCAGGGGCGGGCACAAGGCGCAGCGCGTGCCAGCGCTGGGCGTGCGGCGCAGGGGGGCTCTGAAAGGGGGGGTTGGATTGGGGCATGGAGGCCGGGGCCCAGGCGTGGGGCTCATGATGATGGGCATGCGTGGCAGGGGCAGGGGCAGGGGCAGGGGCAGGGGCAGGGGCGGAGGGAGGGGACGCGGGAGAGGGCACGGAAGGGGAACGGCGCGTGGTGCTGCTACTGCTCACGCTGCTGGGGCTGGCGGTGGAGCACATGAGGCGCGCGCTGCCCTGGCAGCTGCTGAACCGCGTGCCCTCTCACAGCAGCCGCCGCAACAGCAGCAGCAGTAGTAGCAGCTGGGCGGTGTGCTGCTGGTTGTGGCAAAGAGTAGAGGCAGGAAGGGGGCAGGTGTGCTGAGGGGAGGCAAGCGGGGGAGTGATAGAGGCGAAGATGTGAGGCATGCAGCAAAGGATGGTGCTGCTGTGGCTGACCATGTGAGTGGCTGACCATGTGAGTGGGTGATCATGTGAGTGGGTGACCATGTGAGTGGGTGATCATGTGAGTGGCTGACCATGTGAGTGGGTGATCATGTGAGTGGGTGACCATGTGAGTGGGTGATCATGTGAGTGGGTGACCATGTGAGTGGCTGACCATGTGAGTGGGTGATCATGTGAGTGTCCCTCTCCTCCCAAGACATCTTGGTAGAGCCACGTGCATGGCAGTGCCATGTGGTGATGGCAGTGCTGCTGCATGATGGCATGACATGGGTCATCACAAGTGTGTCAAGACGGATCTCACATTCGTGATGCGCGCTCAACCAACTCCAATGGCCTCTTCTCATTGCACCTCATGCCATGCATGCAACAGCATGCCACGCACTGGCTCTCATGTTTGGGGCTGTCAAGTGCCATGGCAGGGGTGGTGGCATTGATGTGGTTTCACTGCTGCAGAGCGTGTGTACTGTGTGCATGCGATGATTGCCATGTCAATGATGGTGGGTGTGGTGGGGATGAGGAAGTGATGAGGATGGACTTGCATCTGATGGCCCAACAAGCCTTCCTGTCCACCAACCCATCCACACCACCCCATTGTGAGCGCACATAGCTACACAGCTCTCACCACACATGCCACTCCATCTTTGTTTTCCGCTTCACAGGCTTGGCACATGAAAGACGAGGCTGTTCTCTGTGCAACATGGCAGCGGGGGGTTGTATTGTGGGGTGCCAAGGTGGCTCTGAGTGCGCTGCAGTGTGCGATCCATGGTGGGGCGGAGGGCTCCTTGGCCTCTGCAATGGGGCCGGTGGACCGGTGGTACACTGCCCTCTGTACAGATGGGATGGGATCGATGGGATCAGGAGGATCATGGAAAGACTAGAGTAGGGACATTGGAATGATTATTAAGTAATTTGGTTCTTTGGAATGCTGAGGTACGGTAAACGAAGTCTTCACCACCAGTGAAATGATCGCACTTGACACTATCCAGGGAATGACAGCCCAAACGCTTTCATTTGAGTTGATACAGTACCGTATTTCCCCGGATAAAAGCGCAGGTGCGCTTATAATAAAACAGTGTTTTTTGGGGGGGTGTGCTTCTAATTGAGGTGTCTGTATGAGCGCATGCGCCTATAATAAGGACAAAATGAAATTCACTTTTTAACATACTAAACTGAAGTCCGCGATAAGGCGAATCCAGCCGACCATGCAACAAGTGGGATCGTGCATGATTTCAGGCAAAAACAGCTGCGGTTCGGTTTCCCACCGCACTGTTGGGCTGAGTGCCCCTTAGGATCTTTGGTAGGGTTAAACTCTGAGTAAAGTGATGTAGTAGCAGAAGCGTTTAACTGAAGTCCTTGAACCACCTTGCGCTGGTACGTGAGGGCAAAGTAAGTTAATTAATACAAGCAAGTACAAAGGTTTATGTAAGAGTACAAAGAATACGAAGAGATATAATTAAACTGTTTTACTGTTGCGGTTCGATACAGTGCGACTCGGGCAACTGCTCAATGTCGAGTCAGTTGTGTGTCCTTGCTGTCGCGCTGCATTTGTCAAGTCAAAGGTCGCTGACCTTTGACTTTCGCGTAACCTCCAGCGGTTACTTCAACCTCCGAGGGTTGACTCGCTGGTGCCTCGATATGCTCTGCTTCGCTTGTGCCTTGGTGTTTCGACACGACAGAGGCGCTTAAGATTGTTTGTTCCCAACACGCACAAAGTTGTCTAGAACCATCGAACGTGACAGCAGTGACGGGGATGTTGCTGTGCGGCCCAATCAGAGCCGCATGCGCTGCGTGGCATCTGCATTTCTTCCGAACCCTCTCGAAGGGTGGGGAAGATTCCCTGCCAACGCAGCGAATATGCTGCCACGCAGTTTCCTCTACGGGGGTAGGCGGGGGTTTCCTGCCTGTCATTGACGAGGACCCCGAGCCGCTAGCCCGCAGGGGTCCCCGTCGTTGCCCATTTCTGCACCCTGCTCCTCATTTTTTTCATTCAGTTTCTAGTCTAGCCCGCCTGGCTGGCGAAGCCATGGCGGAATTCAGTGGGATCCACTTCCTTTTCAAGAAGAAACCAACTCGCGCGTGGCGACTTACCGCGGACCGGTGGTATACCCGTGAGCCACCAGCGCCTCCAGTGCCACCTACACCCCCTGCACCGCCTGCTCCTCCTGCACCTCCTGCTCCTCCTGCTCCTCCCGCTCCTCCGAATCCTCCGAGTCCTCCTGTTCCTCATGCGAATTCTCACCAACGGCCCGTGCTCCAGCTGTATTTGCCAGCCACTTTTGACGAGTGGCTGTCTGAACCGGACACACCCAAGGCTAAGTGAATCGATGCTCTGCCGACTGCACCGCGGTGGGGAAATCCTGAAGCCTGCACATGGGACGAGTCGGATGTGGGCGCCGACGATGACGTGGCCGCCGATAAACAACCCACACACGACGGCGACGCTGGAGGCGACGGTGGAGGCGACGGTGGAGTCGACGGTGAAGAGGGCGCCGAGGAGGACGTGTTCCCAGATCGTGATGCTACAGACGCGGACAACGACGGTGTGGAATCTTGGTGGCGCGACGCACCACGTGAGAAGATGCCGATACCAACGTATCCGCCGATTAACAAAAAGCGACCCCACCCCTCCTCTGAGAACCGAGATGCCCGCCCCCCATCTCCCAGGCACAAGCCAACTCAACACAAACGGCAGCGCTACACCGCCCAGGAGAAACTGAAGTGGCTCGTTCGGCTCGAGCTTGCGGCATCGATAAGCGAGGTCGCGCGGGAGTCTGGCATACACCACAAATGCCTCACGGAGTGGAAAAACCAAGCGGAGGAGCTCAAGGCTGCACACAGCGCTTGGTGTCGACTTCATGGGCGCAGAAGGTCTTCCTGGTACAGACCCATGGAGATGAAGGTGTACGCCTAACTCCTGGACTGGCAACGCCGCGGTGTGGCAGTATCAGTCGGCCGGCTGCAAGACTGGTCAAAAGAGGTGATGAAGGTGTTGTTCCCAGACGTCAAGTGGAAGGCGAGTCAGCGCTGGACGGAGCGGTTCCGCAAGCGGTGGAATCTCACCGTGCGCATGAAAACAAAGGTGGCGCAAAACACACACAGCAGCGTAAGTGCCTGTCCGTGCACTGTCATCCTATCGTGATTTTTTATCTTGTATCTCTGTACTTTCTTGCCCATGTATGTTTATCTGTAGCAGTGCTCATCCGCCCTTGTAAACCGTCCCTCCCTCCCCGTGTGCAGACATGGCGAAGCAGTGCAAGGAATTTTGGCAGTTTGTCCGCGACGCACGCCACGAGTATGACATCGACAATCGGTACATCATCAATGCCGACCAGACGCCTTTGTGGCTGAAGATGTCGGCGACTACCACGGTGGAGCAGACGGGCATGAAGTCGGTCCCCATCCGCGGCGGTGGTTACTAGAAAGAGAGAGTCACTGTGATGCTGGCGTGCACGGCGACGAGCGAGAAGTTGAAGCCATGGGTGTTTTTCAAGCGCAAGACCCTCCCAAAGGGTGACTTCCCGAATGGTAAGAAGCTGCGTATGCGCGTGTATCCAAGGGGAAAAACAAAACTCAAATCTAACCACCGCTTGCTTGTATGCAGATGTCGTAATCGGCTGCGAAGCTAACGGGTGGATGTAGGCCTCGGGCGTAATCGAGTGGCTCGATGCAGGCGTGGTGCCGTTCCTGAAACCGAAGTCCGGATTGCAGAGCCGGAGTGCCATGCTGGTGCTCGACTCCTATCGTGGTCACCTAACACCCGAAGTCAAGGCGAAATTTGCAAAACTCAACATCGTGACGGCGGTCATCCCGGCGGGATGCACGGCAGACTTGTAGCCGCTCGATGTGTCGATCAACAAAAGCTTCAAGGCGAGTGTTCGGCAGCAGTACCAGACTTGGTTCGAGCAGGACGGCATGAACATCCTGACACCCGCAGGTACGCCAAGTGTTCTCCCGTGACCGCTTCGTTTGCTTGTTTGCTTGCTTCTGGACTCACGTGTTTCCCACCCCCGTGTGTGTGGAGCAGGGAACATCAAGAAACCACCTCTGGAGGTGGTGCTCAAGTGGATTTCACGAGCGTGGAAAGTTGTGCCCGCCGACCTGATTAAGAAAGTGTTCCTCACCTGCGGCATCAGCAATGCCCTTGACGGGAGTGAAGACGGACTGGTGCAGGTAGAGGTAGATGACGACATCCAAGCAGACAGGTTCTTTGGCAACAACTCCACGGAGCCTGAATCGGACGAGGAGTAGGCCTTAGGCTAAACTAATCTTGAAAATGGTGTGTAGGCTAGTATTCAAGTTAAATGTATTTGATTGGAAAGTTGTAGTTGAATTTTTTAGCTAGAGAAGTGTAGCTTGGATGTAGGTTGTTAATAAAGTGAAAAACTTCAACATAAATTCTTGTTATACAGCACGGGTGCGCTTATAATACGTAACTATTTTTTAGAGGGTGCGCTTCTAATTGAGGATCGGCCATAAGCGCATTGCTCCAGATAGAAGCGCATGCGCTTAACATAGGCCTGGGGTTATATCCGGGGCGATACGGTACATTGACTTGACTCTATCCTAACAAACAAAGTGTCAGAATGAGAAACGAGAATGATGAGTGACTAGCAGGAACAACAGTACAAATATGTCAAACCCTAATCTGGTGTACCCCTTATGGTGTGACCCACTACAGCCTAGAACCACACAAACATATAAATGTTTGACACACCCCCATAGGCAAAGTGGGGGAGACCTAGGGGTCACAAGACCAGTCAAGGCAAAACAAGGCAAACAAGCTCAGGGTGGATCTCGAGGATTCCACACAAATTCCGAGCACAAGCAAGCGGTCACAAGACCAGTTCACATGCAGTTTTATAATAGAGCAAGAGGTACAATGATCACAACCTAACAAGGCAAACATGCAGGTATATATATTATGATCACAGTACAAGTAAAGTCAGGAAGTAAGTAGGTGAGAAACAGTCGGCACAAGGCCTAGAAGAGTGCAAAAACGCTGATGGTCAACAGGCGGAAGCGCCTTGGTGAACACATCAGCAGTGTTGGCCTCAGTGGCCACGTAACGCAGAAGAAGCTGACCACGCTGCTGTAGCTCTCGAGCTAGAAAGTAACGCAGAGCAATGTGCTTCGTCCTGTGCTCCAGTCTGTGCTCCTGGCACAAGGCAATGGTTGCCTTGTTGTCGACGTACAGCACTGGAGGAGAACGAGGCTGCTCTCCAAGGTCAGTCAGCAGGTAGGTGAGCCAGCGAAGCTCCTGGGCAGCCATGGCCGTGGCGTAGATCTCAGCCTCACAGCTGGAGCTGAGAACAGAAGAAGAACGAGTAGAACGCCAAGAGACAGAGCCAGAGCCAAGACTGAAGGTGTAACCCTGAGACGACCGCTGAGTAGCCTGGTCGTCTGCCCAAGAAGCGTCTGAGTGCCCAGTGAGAACAGGCCGGTCTCGCCCTCCAAGCACTAGCCCCATGCCCGACGTACTGCACAAGTAGCGCAACACCCTCTTAGCTGCATCCATGTGCTCCTTCCGGTGACGGCCGGGAGCGACATAGCGTGCTAAGATGCTGAGAGGGTATGCAAGGTCAGGTCGAGTGCAGGTCATCAGGTACATGAGGCAGCCCACAAGCTCTGGATACGGACCACTCGGCTCTACGGACTCATCCGAAGGCAGAGCTGAGAGCGAGTGTCCCGTAGGCAGAGGAGTGGACTGAGGCGAGGAGTACGTGAACCCGAAGCGCTGAAGGACCTGCTGCACCATGTGTGACTGAGTCAAGGTGATGGTGCGCCGTGCTCTGTCCCGGGTGATCCGCAAGCCAAGATAGCTTGTCAGTTCACCCAGGTCTGTGCACGTGTGTCTCTTCTGCAGCTCGGACTTCACGTG